TTTGTCATATAAAGACTCTTTTTTCATGCAGAGCAACAAAACACGACTCTGACACGCTGTCACGTAATGGACATGCATGCACTTATATACGTGACAGTAAGAGGTTTGCTATGCAAACTGAGTGTTTTCCATGAGAAACACTGAAAGAGTTAAGCTGTCTGATAATGGACATGTAATGGGCTTGTAACTTTAAAAGTAAGTGTTAGATCTGCAACACATTTGACATTTTTTCTTGAAAACTGACACAAATGATTAATTCTGAATAATAATATTAGCTGGTTACTGTTTGAGTCGTTCTTCTGGCTCCTAAATGCAAATATGTAACAATAACAACTGTTTCAGGAAGAATTCAGGACTTCACAGATCCCTTCATGTCCCTTTGTAACCCTTCAAAATATTCTTTCTGCTTGACAATATTAATGAATTGTTATAGCTAATTGTCTTCAGTACAAACCTTTGAGTTCTCAGTATTTTCATTTTTCATTTCGGATATTTGTCACTCTGTAAAACCACCGCTCGCTCCGCAGCTTCCCTTCGTCCTTCCTGTAGGTCCTGCTGAGGAATTTGGATGAAAGGAAAGGAGGCAGAGCAGCCTCGAAGGGAGGGCGAAAAAGAGAGAGGAAGAAGTGATAGAGGAAAAGAGAGAGGAAGAAGTGATAGAGGAAAAGAGAGAGGAAGAAGTGATAGAGGAAAAGAGAGAGGAAGAAGTGATAGAGGAAAAGAGGGAGGAGAAGTGACAGCAGGGACAGAAAATAGAGGCAAAGAATCTTTAGGAATACTAATGAATTAATGATGCAACGTGTTGACATTTTTCTCTTTCTTCTTTCTGTCCCTGCACTCTTTCCTTGTCTCATTTCAACCCCTCTCTTCAACTCTCCTCCTCCTCCTCCTCCCCTTCTTCCTCTGCGCTCCTGCAGGTAGGAGGGTGTCCTTGTTAGCTTGTCATCCTGTTGTAACCCCGAGGCCAGTGATGTGACTGGAATGTGAATTCATCATAAAAGGACCAACTCTACCTGAGGACTTCCTGCTTCCCCAAGAAACTCAGGTAAGTCGTACATAATGGAATATTTAATGTGATCATTCTCTGTGTGGTTTGACTGCATGTCTGGAAAAATTACAAGTGGTGAAAAGCAGCTTGGTAATTTTGAGGCTTAGTTTTTTTAGTTATTTCATTCAGCTGAAAAGAGCCGATGCATAAGTGGGGAAAAGTGATCATACTTAATCAAAGAGGCTGTTGTCAAGCAGAACGCTTAAACAAGACAGAGTACAGCTGGTGCAGGATATTGACAGGATACATGAACTAATACTTGATTTATTTGAGACCAGTGCAGAGCGGCTTGTCTGCTTGATGTGAGATGCTTATAATGTTTCTTATGCTGGGTTCTGGTGCTGGTACTCGCCGTCAGCCCGACCTGCCGTAGACCTTCTATGGCACCACTTTGGGCCGGCAACAAAAACCTTTCCTTTTTTGGGTCAATCAGGAGTGTCAGAATCAGAATATTATATTAATCCCTGAGGAAATCATATCGTACAGCTGGGGCTGTGCGATATGACCAAAATCTCATATCCCCATATAAGACATCTATCGTCCCGATAACGATATAAATCACAAAAATGTAACATTTCCTGTAAATTCTGTGAATCTCATGTAGCTGAAGTGTTTCCAGCTACACGTCATGTAGCTGGAGTCGAGTGTTTTAACCGATGCATGAAACGATACATTTTTAGACATAAGTTGTAACGGC